ATGTTTTAAATAAAAGGTTAATGTGACCAAAGGGGACATTATTTGGTGCTACCGCTAGCCACCCCCACCCCTCCTTAAGGGTGAAACGGGGGGTAACTTTGGAGAGTCAAATGGGATAACCATTTTTTTACAGATTTTGGTAGTACATAAAAAAATGAATAACTTTTATTTAAAACTTTTTTCAATTTATCAACAGATGGCGCTGTAATTCAAAATTTAAGAAAAATAGGTTTCCCTGTAAAATGTATTATTTGAAACGTTTGAAAAACAAAAATGAACATTAAATCAACAATAGTCGGCTCTGAAAACAATTTATAACAAATGTTCGAAATGTCGTCCTTCCATTTCGACACCAAGTGGAGCACCAGCGTCCCTGGTCGGTAAACGTTTGGTGCAGTACCTTTGGCGAACGGCATTAAATGATGAAAATTACCGGAATTTTCTAGAAAACGATCTGCCAGACTTCTTCCTGTGGGGTTACTTGAAAGAAAAAGTTTACGCTGCAATTCCTACAACTCGGGAGGACATGGTGGAGCCAGAATTCATTACCCGCATTCAAAAATGTGTCGAAATGAAAGGATGACATTTTGAACATTTGTTATAAATGGTTTTCAGAGCCGACTATTGTTGATTTAATGTTAATTTTTGTTTTTCAAACGTTTCAAATAATACATTTTACAAGGAAACGCAATTTTCTTAAATTTTGAATTACAGCGCCATCTGTTAATAAATGGAAAAAAGTTTCAAATAAAAGTTATTCATTTTTTTATCTACTACCAAAATCTGTGAAAAAATCGGGTCATTTCATTTGACTTTCTAAAGTTACCCCCCGTTTCACCCTTAAGGAGGGGTAGGGGGTGGCTAGCGGTAGCACCAAATAATGTCCCCTTTGGTCACATTAACCTTTTATTTAAGACATTTTTCTGTGAAATGCGTATTTCACCAGATATTGAGCTGTCTCAAGTTAAAAGAAACACCTATTAGGGGTGTATAATACCTACTAGATGTAACTACTCCACATAGATCCAACCATTTGATTTAAATGCGCAACATTCGGCGTAAAAAGTCTTACTTTATTAGTGTGGTCTTGGCCCACATTTTTTTTTATTTCCAGTGTAAATTTCTATATAATAGTATATTCTGTAACAAGTTTGGAATACAGCATATTCCGCTAGAGTGAAGAGTTTGTCACACGAGCCGAAGGCGAGTTTGACAGTTTCACGAGAGCGGAATATGCAATTCCAAACGTGTTTCAGACTATACTTTTTCTACGTTTCCAAAAAATACCATAAAAAAATAATTTAATTGGAAGAAAGTGAGGTTGGATCGGTCTAAAGTTTGTTAAATATTAAAAACAGAGATGTCGCCACGAGTGTTTATTCTGTCATCCGATGATAGAATATTTCATTCTGTAACACTTTACGGAATATATGTCATTCCATAGATAAAAGTGATATTAGAACGGTCAAATTCCGTAATAGGAGTAGAAAAAAATATATAAACGAATTCGTATTTCATTCCAAATAATCTTTGTATTCATACTTAGGTACTTTTACCACGAGAGAAACGAGACGAGACGAGAGAAAGGCACTCTCGAGCGAGAAAAGAGTATTCTCGACGAGACGAGAGACCCATTTTCTCTCGCTGCACGAGACGAGACGAGAGAAGGACTTTTCTCGTCTCGTCTCGTCTCGCGGCATCACTACTAAACCTGAACTGATATTTACGTTCGTGACATATTGGCTTTATAATTTTGACCTCCTATTCTTGAAAGCAAGAGAAAGGAGTGGTCCCTGGAAGCTCCCGGAGAGCTTCCCCTTATTTGTACTCCCTGATATAAAAATGTCGAATTCTTGAAACATCGAACGCACCGGCGAGAATCAAAAAGGGATTTAAATCAGGGAACAACGTTGCCGTACGTTTAACCAATAAAATTACAAAACATTTTGACAATGAACACACATAACCTAAGTTTCTGTCATTGGTTTGATGTTCTTTTTAATTTTAATGGTTTGTGTTTGATAAAAACACGAAAATAAAAGCAAAACAATTAAGTGCGAAACAAAAACAAGTTTTAGTGGATTTCGTTCACTCACGACCCGATATGTACAAGGGAAAATTAAAATTATACAAATGCCATAAGTCATGCATTTTAAATGCAATTCAGGGGTCAGTAAGGACTGAAAACAGTGGAGAAAGGCAGAGGTTCTTGTGGGTTCGGCTAAGAAAGGGGTGACATTGTCAATTATATCATGAAATAGCTCCTTATCCACCCTGAATAGCTGCACAAATTTTCTATCAGATAATTGAAGTGCATTTGTCTTTGGCAGAACATCCCTCCCAATAGCCAATTCTGCCACCGCTTCCTCAACATCCCTGTTAATATTTTCATTCCACAGAATTAAATTAAAAATGTCCATAATATTTTATTTTGAAACTGACACAATAAACACTACACAAATTTAGGTTAGGTTTGCTGTTTCTCTCAGCCTCTAGTTGGAGAACTTTAAGTTCTCTTGGGTGTAGCTCCCTCCCTTAGTATTTTTTCAAGAATACCGGATTCTATATTTTTCTTAAACCACGCCCACTTCTCTCGCAAGTTCTACTCCCTGACATTCAAAAATAGGCACCCAGGGTGATGTGATTCAGTTGTCAAATTTAAGTTTTAGATAAAACCAAAATCACCAAGAATCAAAATTCGAAAACAATTCCCGGCTGTTAAATGTCTCAATAACATGCCTTTGCCAATGCCATTTGGGGATTCATTTTTTGGGAGAAATTACTGCAATTTGTTTGAGTGGTAAGGATAATGTTACATAAATTACATTTATGCACGATGACATTATAATATGACAATTATAACAAAAATTCATTGACGTAAACGTCTTTTTATAGCCCGCGGGCGTTATTATGGCCCAGCGGGCTATAATGAAACGTCAAAAATTAAAAACAACAATGTTACACCATTTGATATATTCGAAGTAAGTTTTTTCGTATAAAGATTTTAATTTTTCCGGCAGCAGGCCGCAATTTTTCGCCTTTTCAGCTGCTTCCTCAATTTCATTCATCTTTAAACTTTAAAACTGACTGATGTCAGTTGACATTATAATATGACAATTAAAACAAAAATTCTTTGACGTAAACGTCTTTAAAAACATTAATATATTAAAAATATTAATATATTAATCGTGCATAAAGTTTTGTATGCATTGCTGGCATAACTGGTTTTTATGCCCTTAATACATAAATAACTATTATATTGCGCACTAGTAATAACTTATTACTGATAATTGGTAATAAAGTTAAATACAAAATTTGTTTGTTCATTTTTGAAAATTGTATGCGAAGATATAATCATAATAAAAACTACAACAATCAACAGCAAAATGTAACAAACAATAGCAATATTTCGTTGGCCCTCCCCTAACCCGTAATAATTCGTTAACCCAAGACCAAGTTCCTTAGATATTCCTGGGGTATCAAATCAAATCAAATCAAATCAAAAATATTTATTCAAGTTATTGTATAAAATATAAATTGTAAAAATAATTCCAGGTATAAATAATAGGTGTATAAATAAAATGAACAAAACAAATGTGCCTGGCACGTAATGTTCATCATAAAGGAGGTTACTATATATACGCTGTAGCGCAATATAGCAACCCCCCTGGCCGATGTTTTGGCCTACCCGAAACCATGATACAATTTAAAATTGCCTCGCAGCTCGCCATTCCCTTCGCCTATCCGATACAGGGGCCATATTGTTAAGATGTTTTGCGTGTAAAAATTGGAGACTGTCAAATTATGGGGTATCGAATTTACCAATTCATCCAAATCCATGCGTCCTTTCCTTTCTTTCATCTTCAGTTTTATCCTGCCCCACACATGCTTAATAGGATTCATATCCGGAGACAAAGGTAGCCAATTCATTCTTTCAATATCATGGTCCCTTAAATACTCATTTACGATATTAGCGCGATGCGGACGAGCACTGTCGTCCACCAACACCAAATTATTGGCATTTAATTTTCATCATTTGATCCTTGATTTAATCATTCAGTGACATGATAATAACGTACTAAAGATGCAAAACACAATAAAAAAACAGTACAATCCAGCAATCAGATTTTATTGAGACATTTAACAGCCAGGATTTGTTTTCGAATTTTGATTCTTGGTGATTTTGGTTTTTTCTGAAACCTAAATTTGACAACTGAATAACAATCCGGTCAAAATTATTATTAAATAAGTTTGTTGCTTGTCGCTTGTTCAGAATTATTCAAGGAACAATCTTTCACCATCTTATCTTTTTGTTCTTAAAAAGGCTGAGTGTATTGCCTACAAAAAAGCATCAAATGTACTCCATTGAAGAAAAAAATCATATTTTTGTTGCTAAGATTCCAATTCGAATAATTTGAAAAAAGATTCAAGGTAAGACATGTTACTTCATTATTTCAAAGTAAAAACGAGAAAAAAATATTTATTTTACAAACGGGGCTTGGATGAAGCTATTGAAATTTTTCACGGTTTTACATATCACCCTGTAGTAAATTAACTTGAAGAAACGTGAGCTTCATATCTATAGCATGAATTGCGAGAGAATGGGGCTAGCAGACATCACAAACCAAAATAAAATCGTTTAAGAAACAAAAAAGTTATGTCGTTTTGAAAAAGGACGAAATTTTTGGTCGCGACACATTGAGTGGTGCGCAGTTTATATAGGTTATTGTAGCAATCAGGCAATAATAATTAGTTCGTGGCTTCTTCATTTTTAATCAAAATACTAGTGATAAGTATAAATTAGCAGAATGTAATAAAGTAATAATGTTTAACAAACTCATTGATGCAGCGTTATTTTATGTGATTTGAGTAAAATATATTTTTAATATACTCTTTGTTTAAATTAGGGTCATATGCGACAAGTTTTCTGTGATCATGGCAATTGCTTTAAAGCATAAGCTTTGTGAGAACAGCAGTCTAAAGCATTGTTTTGTTTTCAGTTGTGCCTGGGGAATTAGTTTATTACTGTGGCCGCCTTGGATTTACAGTTGGCCGTACATTGAGGGAGGACGAAGTGTACCTGATAACGAATGTTATATTCAATTCATCGAAACGAATCACTACATCACATTTATAACGGCCATTGCGGCCTTTTACGTTCCCGTTAGCGTCATGATTTTTCTGTACTGGCGGATATGGAGAGAGACAGAAAAAAGACAAAAAGACTTGCCTAACCTGCAGGCCGGCAAAAAAGACAGCAGCAAAAGAAGCAACTCCAGGTAAAGCAAATTTTTATCTTATTTTCAATGTTTTCATGTTTTGTTTGTTATGTGATTTAGGTTAAACAGTATAATTTGATGTTATGTCTTAAATGCTTAATGTTTAGTTTGTTTTTTATTTTACGTCGTTTACGTTTTAATTGGTTAAATATAAGTTAAAAATGTTCACAACTCCAAGACTTGGAGTCCAAGTGAAAAATATCTTGGGTTTTAAGGAGGAAACTTAAATTTTAATAGTGTAATTTATAATTTAATCCTGCGTTTTTTTATTTACTTTTGTCATTTTTTGAATTTTATCACACTTTGATGCAATTATTATCCACATTAAATTTCTTAAAACGAGTGAGTAATAGAAATCTGAAGCTTTTACGAATAAAAGCAAATGTTCGGATACTGTGCATTTTTACAATTTATTTTGTGACAACACAAGTTTTCAGTGGAAAACTAACTTTAAATTTTTGTGAACACTTTTATCTATAACTTATAACTTATTAAAATGGACATTTCCCGGAATAAACAGGCAGTCGTTTTTTATTTCAAGGGTGCTTTTTACAAAATGTTAAAAGGATACATTACAAGTAAATATTACAAGAAAATATTTTAAGAACTTTAAATCTGTTATGCCTTTAAAAACGTAGGTATAACCAAAGATAATCTGTATTATGCTCTAGAGCACAAACCCAAAGCACAAAAATGGCCGCCGTTAAACTTTGCAGTGTTGCAGTGATTTTTTGTATTTTTAGTACGAGAGAACAGACCTTGTTGTGTGGATTGTGGGTATAACCTAGTATATTTTTGCAAAACTTAAGTCCGATTTGATTAAAATTTTCATTATGTTAGGTTCTATATAATTAAAAGTTAGTCTAGCTAGCGTGAACGCAATTTTATTCTTATTCTCACGCTAACGTGAACGCAATTTAATTTTTATTCTCACGTTAACTTCGTATATATAAATATTAATCTGCCTTTTGGTTTTTGGTTAAACCTAAGGCTGCCAACTTTGCCCAGGGGCGGTTTTAGACATCTACTGAGGGGGGGTGAAAATAGAAAAAGCCCATGTGTAGTGGACATAATTCTGCCAGCATTATTTTATTTAATTTTACTTTTTAGGTGTCGTGTCATTTGATTTGATTATTATTTGATTATGTCATTTGATTTGATTATGTAAATGTAATAAAATTTACTAATAATTAAATCGAGACTCTTTTACTGCAGCCAAACCAACCCAAACTCAACAACACAACCCAACCGACCCCGCGCCATTGGGCCCCCCGCCCCATTGAGCAAAAAACCCAACTAACATGGGCAAAATGAACGATTTTCCAATAGGTAGTTAGTTTTAACTCATCATTATTGTTGTTTTTGTCCATAGCAATACATTTTACGTACACTTGTATCAGGGCAGATTTCACAAATCGACCAAACCGCCTGCCAACGTTTAAAAAACCTCAAAACCGCGAAAATTAGATTCACAGAACAAATTAGATTCTTGAAAGAATCTTAGGTTATGTTACCTTTAATGACGTCACCGCGTGAGAATAAGAATAAAATTGCGTTCACGCTAGCGTGAGACTAGACACAGCGATTTAAAATACGTAGGTAGTAGTAATCATAACCTCCCAATTATAACACGAGGGCGTATCTTATATTTAATTTACAAATTACAGAGCATTTTAAAAAGAGTTTCTAGCTAATTTAATAGTTATTTATGTATTAATGCCGAGGTGCATATTAAATTTTATTCAAAATCACATTTAATAATACTAATAATTTATATTGATGATTAAATCAAATGTCATTTGATGATCAAATCAAATGTCATTTAAATGTAGGAAGTGTCTACGTATACTATTTGTTGCGACGGTTATTATAATATAATATATTATATTTGACCGCCGCGGTGATTTTCTAATCTAATTAATTAAATTAACTTATTATTTTTATTAAAAAACATTTTATGAATCCAATCGACCTCCGAGACGGTGCATGCTTTTTTCTTAAATATTATTTAGTTGCTGCTGAGGAGCAGTAGACACATCTTAAAATGTATAATGGGTCCCATAATATAATCGCATTAGTTCTATTTTACTGCCGATTTCTTTTCTTTTACGATTGTTGACTACTTTATCACGAATGTGCAAATAACCACGTGAGTGATAAAAAATGACTTTAATGCCGAGGTGCATATTAAACTTTATCCGAAATCACATTTAATAATACTAATAATTAATATTGATAATAAAAACAAATGTCATTTGAATGTAGGAAGTGTCTCTACCTCACAGACCACCAAAACAAATGGACGGCGCATTGCAATAACAATGATTTGTTTGCGGTCAACAAACGGTCACATTCTAAGCGTCAAATTGGAGATAGAATTTTATGTTTTCTTCCAGTGACGTCAACAAACGGTCACATTCTAAGCGTTAAATTGGCGATAGAATTTTATGTTTTTTTCCAGTGACGTATTGAGATTAAAAAAATAATAAGTAGGTAGGTAGTACTTACAAACGATATTTCCATGTATTGTTATTTTAAGTAAAATATTATGTATTTAAACTCCATAATTAACTTAAACACGATAGAAATACACAAACGAAAACACAAAACAACAAGCTGTCAACGTTTTTCTATGCTGTCATATATGACAAATTTACCAACGTTGTTAAAATTTAATTTTAATAATTATAAAATGATTTACTTTCTTTAAATAGAGAAAAATATCTAAAGAAAATGATAAAAAAATCCTTTTTACAATTTTTTTATTATTCAAACGAATTACTTGTAATTATTAATGTTCATTATGTTATGATGAACATCCAAAAAGGCGTGTAATCTATACTTCTGACAACGTTGGAAGCCGTGTTTCTTTCGACGGTGTTTAGAATGTGAAACTATGCTTTACTCGCTTTTTAAACGTAAACAAATCCGTCCATTTGTTTTGGTGGTATGTGATCTACCTATACTGTTTGTTGCGACGTTTATGATTATATTTGCCCGCCGCGGCGATTTTGTAATGTAATTAATAAAATTAACTTATTATTTTTATTAAACAACATTTTATGAACGGGTCCAATCGACCTCCGCGATGGTGCTTTTTTAAAATGTATTTAGTTGCTGCTGAGTAGCAGTAGATACATCTTAAAATGTATAATTGGTTGCATAAAATACTTCCTATTAGAACTTTACTGCCGATTTATTTTACATTAATGCCGATTGTTGACTACTTTACTGCCGATTTCGGAGAAATTCTTTTATTTCCACCTTCTTAGTTTACATGACATTTTATAGGTTAATTTTGTTGTTGTTGTATCCAAGTAAACGATACATTATGGGAACCGACCTGTAATATTTTACGGGCTTGTATAAAAGACCTGTAAAGTTTTACAGGTTTGTACAAAAGCAATTTATGAAATGAAATGTCACATTTGACATATTAATTAAAATTTTAAATTTAAAAATCGTTATCTAAAGGTGAAAATAAAAGTTTGTACGTGTCACGCTTTGCAATTAATCTTTACTAGAATCACTGGACAAACTTCCAGCTCGCCCGTAAAGATTCATTTACAAAGCTTGACACGTAAATAACTAATATGAAAAAAAATGCTACTAGTTATTACATTAACCTAGTAGCACATTTTTTTTTTTCAAAAAATAATTTAAATTAGCTATTTGTATTTTTAAATTTTCCATTACAACCTCAATTTTGATCATATTAAAACAGTTCTGAAAATAATTATTATTTTTGAAAGTAACACTATAATCACCAACCTATTCATTACTTATATTTAAAAACATATTCTATATATAAACAAAATAAACATCGTAAACATCTAATTCGTGCAAGACCTTTTGATTTTATTTTATGCATAGCGTATGCTATGCATTAATTTGCATTTAAAAAAGTTTCAATCCAAGTGAATTAACTTACATAAAATAATTTGCATGCATATTGCTTCCCACTCAAAAATTTCATCAAAAGACTACTCACTACTTTTGGTGCCCTTTTTAAACAAGGTGCACAAAATGTGGACAAATTTGTCTCAAAAATATTATTTTAGCCAAAAACGTATGCTTAAGCTATCAGACATAAAGAATCGCAAATCATTCGTAAACGGTGTTTTCAAAAACTATTTTAATAAAACTCTAACTTTATTGAGTTTTCAAAAGGCCCAGACAACCTGTTGATTTTTTTAAATCCATCTAAGCGATTTTTTTTAATTAATCGAATGCAACAATATCAAAATTTATATATAACGCGTGGTTAACATAAACTAAATAAGACAATACATTAATAAGGTTAGGTAAATTTTAAATGAATTTTATTCAAACAGATAAAAAAAACTTACTAAGTTCGGAATTAAAGCTTAGCTTGCTCAATTAAAACGTCATCATTAATTACGATTCAAAATAAATTCTATGAAAAAATATTGTCCAATTAAATATAAATTGCATTGGAATTAATTTTAGTTGCTAATAAGTCTGAGAATTTACCCTGACGACGACACGCTGAGTAGCTAAACTATCATTTGTGAATTTCGTCAAGTTTAATGCTGATATAAAATCCAATTTATTACGCTTCATATAATTTTATAATGCGACGTTATCGTTAAATCCTATTATATTACAGGATTTAGTTTTAAACTATTTTGTCACTGGCGTTAAATTATTAATATATTACCATAAAGGTACGTAATGACTTAAATGTACATGCACTGAATCAGGAGTCAGTAATGGGCACGTACCCGATTTATTAAAATTTTGATAAATACCCAAGGTATGTACTATGTTCTATGTACCAGTGGTGAGCATTATTGTAAACTTTGAACTATCAACTATCGATAGTGCTCACCACTGGTACATAGTACATACCTTGGGTATTTATCCAAATAAAAAATCGGGTATTATTATTATTCATTGTCAAATTGACACGATTCGATGTCACTCTGCAGGAATAAAGAGGCAATTAACCGATTTTAAAGCTCGAATGGTATTTATAAGATTATTTTAAAAGCTATATCTTCAAAAGGATTTATGGCTCTATGAAACTTTGTGCAATTTTTCCTTTAGCAATTTTGCGGTAACATTCCACATTGTCTTAATTACTCCTTATTTATAGTCTGTACCGTTTATTTTTTTCATAATAAATGCCCAATCCAGTAATATTCACCTTCAGACGTGTTTTCCAGAATTTGGTAATTTTTTAATTTACAAAACTCTTCAAATTGTCGCCATATGGATGCTTGGCTTTTCGTGGTATTAATTGGCCGATTATCCTTCACCGCCTGGTCGATATTTTGTAACTGTACAGCGACTCATTTTGGAATGAAATTCACGATATTCACTTAAACATCAAATCAATATTTTGACATAATATGTGCTAAGTTTATTAATTAACATATTATGTTAATTAATAAACTTAGCGACGAAACAATTAAAATGAACATGAAAAAATTATCGAATTATCGCTGTAATTCGCTGTAGGTTCCCTCAACAACAATGCCTCAACAATGTCCCAACAATACAGAGAACTGTCAAAAAAAAAATCGTAACAATTCCATGAAAACGTAAAATTATGACATCAGTCGGGAATCCGGACTCGGGATCGAACTTGCCGTATAAGGACTGTAGACACAGCGTTTTTTAAATGGAACACCCTGAACATAAAAATAATCCATTAATATATTATATATATATATTATATATATATATTATATATATATTATATATATATATATTATATATATAGGCAGTTACACTTTCTGATTTTTGTTAAAATAATGTAACAACCATTAGAAACTGCAAGTGCTTATTAATTGTTTATTTTTAATTTCAATTGTAATTTTTTGTTTCAAATTAAATTGTCTTTAATATATCTAAAATATACAGGGTGACCTAATTAAACGAAAATATTTTTGTGAATATTTCGGAAAGCCGACGATTAATTTTTTTTTCTGTTCACCATTTTAATCAGAATAAAAAATTTCACCATTATCTAATTTAACCGAATTTGTAGCTCCAAAAATACGGGAATTATTAATGGTGAGCAATGGTAAGCAGTTACAGTGTATTACACATTCCTTTTTCTAATGGTATTATTGTATTTATAAGAAAAAATTGAACCTAGACCTCGCCAAAGTTTTTTGTTTTGAGTGCGTTTCACCAACTTCAAATACCGACAGACAGCTGTTTCGACCTATATTGGGTCTCATCAGTGTCGGGCAACTTGGTGTAGTGGAACATACTCAAAACTAAGGACTCCCTAATGACCCATTACTGGTAATATTCATCTTATATTCTAATATTCTAATATTCATCTCATGAATATTACCAGTAATGGGTCAAGAAAGTTTCTTAAAGAAACTAAGAAAATTGAATGTTTACCTTAATGTTTAGCCCGGTTGGGCTAATTCTAGATTCCTTTAGGCCATATTAGTATCTGTGATACAATTGCTGTGTGCAGTCCCGATTGCATAGTATGTACCGATTGCGGCAAAGTCCTGATGTTCTTACATCTTGCCTCTGTTGGCTTACCAACCGAGCATATAAGCTCAGGGAGTCCTTAGTTTTGAGTGTGTTCCACTACACCAAGTTGCCCGACACTAATGAGACCCAATATAGTTCGAAACAGCTGTCTGTCGGTATTTGAAGTTGGTGGAACGCACTCAAAACAAAAAACTTTGGCGAGGTGTAGATTCAATTTTTTCTTATGAATATTACCAGTAATGGTTCAAGAAAGTTTCTTAAAGAAACTAAAAAAATTGAATGTTTATTATTGTGTTTGTTTAATCCGTTAAATTAAAAATTCCAATTAAAATAATTTTATTGAATAAAATAAATGTTTTATAAACAATAGATATGTATTTTCTATAAAATGTCAATAAAATTTAAAATGGACCGTTAAGTGAATTAAAATTAAGCTAAAAGTCAGAGAGAGAAAATAAGTAAAAAGTCGTCCACATAAAAAACTCAGGATATCCCTGCCATTTGTTCACTTGACGGTTAAATTTATATTGTTCTTCCAGTCTACTGTATGTATGCTTTTGATCTTTATATGTTTGGTCCCTAGATGTTCGTTGTAGTAAATGTAAGGAATCAAACACTTTAATCATTAAGTTAATTGTGTGTATACAGTGTATTCGTGTGCAGTGACGAAGCAAACAACGCCTGCTCGACGGTGGACCTAGAAGACTGGCGCAGGCCGCGGTCCGAATCGTCGACCGGAGCCGACACGGATTCCGTCTACATGCACAGCTCGGTTTGCGTGAACAACCATCGAAGAAAAAGGCCGGTGAGTAATCAATTATCCATCCGTTTAGTCATCATGTGTCCACCTCTTAGTTATCCCTTTTCTTTTTTTTTACCTCATATCAAGTGATGGGTATTATTCAATTATTGGTTCAAAGGGAAAAGTGACGGATCCAGGGGGGAAATGGAAAAAAAAAGAGTTTCAGTACTGGGAAAAAATTTTGAGGGAGAAAAAATAAATTAGGATATTTGCCCCTGGATATCAGAATAAAAACAAAAATAAAAAAATGACTGTATTCATTTTCTATAAATAAAAAACATCAAATAACATTTTAGATAAACATCAATTTTTACCCAAGAATTGTTTCTGGATCCACCACTGAAATGAAAACAGGTATTTTAAAAAAAGGTTTAGAATTTTTACATGGATGTGAAAATAACACTAGTTTACAAGAATTTCCTCATTGAACGAAAACTACTTTTTTTATAAGGTAAAATTTTGTGCTGATTCAGAATATCATAGTGGTTTTCCTGGTTTAGCTCTAGATTTCAAGATTCGCATGAAATCTCAAAAAAATGCAATGTTACAGAACATTAAATCACAAATTTTCAGCTAAAATTGTTATTTAATATTAAATAATCCCAAATTTTTATAGCTATAAAAAGGAAAGTGTAATAAAAATTTTAAGGTGTAAAACTTATAAATTACATTAGTGCTTTGGTCGTTATGACTAAAAACAGGTAAAAAAAATCGTTTTTTTTCTGAATTTTAAAAAAAATCAACTTTGGTCCAATGTAAATAAAAAAACACTTTGAAATATAAAAAGTTGGTCCCCCTATATTCTAGAGAATTTAATTACAAAAATGTTAAGCATCGTACGTCAACATACGATAAGATTTAGATTTTATACGGTCAATTTTTTAAAGTGAAGTAATGTAAGTACTTTTTTACATAAATTAAATTTAATAAGAGAAACAAAATTGTAGGGTGCCAGGAAGTGGTTATTTAGATGTATTTATTTGACATTTCAGTTGTCATTTAAAATATAAATGTTTATATTGATTTTAGTTGTCAAAAGATTTTAAATATTTATTTTTTATAGTGTTTGTTTGTTTTTGTTATTGTGTTTTGTTGTTATTGTGTTTAAAATGGCCAGTAGGAAATTTGCATGTAAAAATGACCCAGATTTGTTTTGTTTTATATGCGGACACTATATTATTGAAAAAAAAGGTAGAAAAATAACACCAAACCTAAAGATTGCATATTTACATTATTTTGGTTTTGAAATAAGAAATGAAGAGAAATCTTGGACACCAAGTTTAATTTGTCCAAATTGCAACATAACGTTGAAAAGTTGGATGTCTGGAAAAAACGCTTATTTGAGTTTTGGCTGTCCAGTTTTATGGGCAGAACCAGTGGATCACTTAGAATGTTACTTTTGTGTGATAAATATTACTGGTATAAACTCAAAAAACAGAAGATCTCTTTAGTATCCAGATGTTACTTCAGCGAAAAAACCAGTTCTACATGATGAAAATCGAACAAAACCGAAACATCCTTTAAGTTATAAGTCATAAATGACAAATCAAACAAAAACGAACCTAGTTTTGATACGTCTTTTTCTGAAAATTAATTCGATGCAGAAAAAAACATGATGTAACACAAGCCGAATTATCAACACATTTCCATTGGTTAAGGCGCTATCCCTTTTCGACAACTTAAGGTCCCTAATTAAATCATTTGAGCTTATTAAGGCTTATTTGTTGAAAAAGAGAAACGGATCCGATGCAGTACAAAAAAAAGTGAACACCGCATTCCTCATTATAAATCACTAAAATAAACAAAATCTAAAATTAAAAATAAATGTTTATGAAAGTAAATTAAATAAAAAAATAAAATAAATAAGAAAAAAATTCAAGAAAACAGTTTTTTTCTCTTAAAAAATTGTAATTATAAATGATAAAAAAATTTATTGCTTCAAAAAATGTACCGTATATAATCTAAATCTCATTATATATTGACGTACGTATGCTTAAAATTTTCATAATTAAATTCTCTAGAATATAGGGGGACTAACTTTTTATATTCCAAAATATTTTTTGATATACAGTGGACCAAAGTTGAAAAAATTGAAAAAAAAATCGGAAAATAGTGATTTTTTCTTACCTATTTTTGGTCATAGTGACAAAACCACTAATGCGATTTAGGAGCTTTACATCTTAAAATGTGTATTAAACTTCAGTCATTACAGCTATAAAGATTTGGGATTGATTTGATATCAAATAAAATTTTAGCTGCATATTTGTGATTGAATATTCTGTAACAGTGCATTTTTGCGAGATTTCATGCATAACCCGAAATCTAGAGCTAAACCAGAAAAACTACTATTATTTTAGGAATCAGTACAAAATTTTAACTTAAAAAAAGTGGTTTTGGTTAAATGAGGAACAATTTTATCAAATTTTGTAAACTAGTGTAATTTGTGAATATTTCACGAATAACGTCGTTAAATTTTGGCGCGATCGGATGGCATTAAGTAACACGAGAAAAATTATTATATCTTTTACATGGATAAAAATAACAAAACAAGACTAACTAGACTGAAAAGATGAAGGTGGGGACTACACTTCCTGAAAGTTTCAGATTTTTATTTTTTCCTCAACATAATGATTTCTGAGGGCAAAATTGGCTAATTTTGAAAATTATCAAGTTTCAATAATTTTTTTAATAAAGAAAATGATAGCCTAGAAACTTAAAATAATAGTTACGTTTTCTATTGTATAAGTACTTGATACCTGAAAAAAGCAACTTTCTAGATTTAGCAGAATAGGCACAGGAGCTAGACAAAAATCACAAAAATTGGCAAATTATTACAAATCTTTAGTGATTTACCATTCTTTTATGAGATGAACTAATTAGATAATAATAATTAATATTGAAAACACTTACTAGGCAGTAAAATAAAATTACAATCATTTCAATAATTGCCACAGAAAAAAATTTTTAGCCTCTTATAAGAGAGTAAGAAAATGAAATATGAATGAAATAAAGCAACTAAAAATTAAAACGGCAACGGTTTTTCATATATGATACCTAAAATATCATCCTGAAATTTTTTCATTAAAATAAAAAATCATGCAGCGCACTTTTAAATTCAGTTTTGGTGTTTTCATTTGGATTGATTCAAATTGCCTAGATTCTAAAAATCATAAAAAAATTCCTAATAAATTTAAACATTAGGTAATATTATTACGATTTCAACTAACCTCGTTGAAAGTCTCATAGAAAAGAGTCAAGTATGTTTTAAAGTTGGCATACTTTCTTATTACATTTGCAATATTGTGGCAGGATAAATTTAAAAATAAACCCGCTTAAGATATGCACTCTACGTAGCGTTTCCTGAATAAAGAATAAATAGTTCCTTGAGTATCAGCAACGACAGCGATAAGCTGGTGCGAAGCAAAAATACTTTAGCGCCATTGAAAGATTAACTTACTGGTTGCTACCAGAGACAATCTAGTAATAGTTGTTTGGGCGTGTTTTGTTGGATTTATACATGAGAGTCATTCCATATGAAATCAACAAATGGGGTGTGCCGCATGATTTTTAATTTTTATAAAAAAAATTAAGGATAATCTTTGAGGTACCAGAAATACTGAACCACCATTATTTATTTTTTTATGTCAGTCAGAACCCATCCGAAGTCAAAAATTGGGTCAATTTCATACTTGTACATAATGGGCTCTAGTTTTTTATTTAGAATAGGTATTGAAATGATTTATGCTTTGTTTTATAGGGTAGTAAATGGGCATTTCATATTACAAAATAAGGCTAATTTGAAACATGTAGGAACAAAATGGCGACCATCTGAAATTCCTACAATTTGTTCTCATTTTTACGATTTTTAATTGGACCCTGTGTCAACCCAGTTGCACATTAAGGATTGATTTTTTTTTAGAATTAGTATTAACCCTTTTGATGCCATGACATAATTGTCATTGTTCTAGAATGATATTTTATAAAAAAAAATAATTGTGAAAAACATTTTTTAAAATACTTAACTTTGACCCACAAAAAAAACGATGTGGAGGAAAAAATAAAAATGTGATAATTTCAGAAAATAAATTCTATATCTTTGTTAATTATGTCCAGTTAGTGCTATTCTGTTATTTTTACTATTTTAAGAAATATTATTTTTTTAATGTGCTACTTTTACAAAAATATGAAAATAATTTGTTTGATAATAATCTATAAATTGTAATGTATTTAAATTATTACAATTATGTCAATTTATGGTAAAAATTATAAAAAAAAAGAATATTTTTTTTAAATCAGTTATTTATTAAAAACTGCATTATTTATTTTTTATTACAAACTTTTACTATCTTGAGATTTTTTGAGCTTAAATATCGTTGCACGTTTAATTTATTATTTGAGATGGGGACAACACGATAAGTTTCTTTAAAGATGGGGGTTAATCCAAAATACTAGATAGGTACTTAATTAAGTGATAGAATTATTATAAAATCAGGTTTAAATTCTGGTTTTTGCGTATCTTCAGGAGACATCGTAATTAAATTTTGAGCACCATAATTCTTGTTTATATAATCATAGCATCGGGTACAAATAGCGAAGCCTGGAATAAGGTTAATTTGTTTATGTCCCTGGCAGAACGATAATGTTATTTCCCTTAATGATTTTGTGATATTTTTTGTAACGTTTTATGTCAAATCGCGTATAAATTTAACTACGTGGTACTTTTAGTAATGATATTCACAAATATTATTAATGTAATGCCTGTCCTTATAACTAATCATTTTCACTTATCCTCCTCGCTGCTTTGAGCCATGATGTTCTCGAATAAATGTTCTTGCGACAATATTCTTCTTTGAAAACACTAATTTAACACTCCATTATTAGGAATAAATTGTAGAATATGCGTAACTTGTTAATGATAGAAAATAAGCAACAAAACCCCTCACGTAAAAACAGTAAAATAAGAGGGTAAAAATAATTTTGGTAATGTTTTTTAATGTTTATAA